TCTGGAGTGTAACTCCTTTGATCGAACTGATTCAAGAATGCTGTCAGGAAGCCAAAATCTTTCCTCTCTTATCACATGAATAAAGCTAATGCCTAGAAAGCAAACTACCTGAACTAAGCAAATACTTCGGGATGAACCATCTCAAATGCACTAGAATTGTTCAGATTCCCCAATTAGTGCGCCAAACATTATTCCATAATATGTTCGCCAACACCGCATAGCTAATCAACCGCACGTGTTATGCAAATCACTCGAAGGAAAAACAACTGATTCATCATGTCCGACTTGCCAACCGGAATGCTCCCTTCTCGAAACGGTGTAGGCCAACTCAGATCAAGATCAGTAATAATAATTTGTTGATAAAGTAATGTAAAAACGATGCACTTTTGCATAAGAAACAGTATGGCACTCGTTTGAATTTCTTGTTTTGTTCCATCGCACAATCCATTCAAGTGAAATGGAATTAATCATGCCATACGTAACAACAATGACAATCTAATCATCTCTAGATCATCTGGCTTCAACCAGAAACTAAATCAGTGTTTTAGGGAGGAAAAATAGACCAAGTGACGACTATCTTACGAAAAATGGGGAGGTTATCTCCTCTCTGTTTTATTTCTACTTCCTCTTAGTGAATACATGTTATGATAAAATTCATTTTCCAGTAGAAGGAAGCGGCTAATCAAAGGGCTGTCATGTGTAGAAAATGACGAAATTTAGGCTTCAGTGAACGGATTCGGGCACTCACAGTCCGGGGAGATAATTTGGTGATCTTAACGGCCTGACGAATGCTGCAAGGTAGTGAAGGTAGTGAGCATTCTGTTCATGTATCTCGACCACTATTAGCATATTGTGTTCATTGGACTAGATATATTTTCTAAGATTAAATCGCAAAGTTGCAGTTTGACTAAAATTCACGATAAACGAAAACAAAAACTTCGTTTACTTAGAGAAGCCCCCTCTACTCTCACGAAGATAAGTCAACAACAACCGCAAAAATTCATTCTGCCAAGATGTGTGATTCCATGTAGTAGGATCCCGTAAGTCTGCGTTTGCGTATTACTGAGGCAATGTCCACTAATTTCAAAGGATTTGCATAAAAAATGCAAATCAATTTTGAGCACTTCATTTCGTGGTTCAGTAAGAAATACTGCGAACATATATCTTCGAAAATATAATAATTAGACGGATTCACAAAACCTCTATGAAGAAAAGAATACCAGAAGATATACAGGACAACAGTCTGGCGAACTGTTTTCATACAGTTTTCTATCGTCTTCATTCTCAGCTGTGTTTAGTAAGAATAGTCAGTCTGATCAACGTCGTCGTCCACTTATTCATCATTTTGGAAAGTAAGATCAAAAACTCTGACCAAAAACCAAATCACGCTCTAATCCATCTGGCACAGAACCAAAGAAAGTAAATATAAATTTTTTGAAATTGGATTCCAGTGAATAATTGGAAGTATCAGGTATCTCCGCCAGTTTCCTCTTCAACTAGCTTCCAATTGAGCAAACATTCTCTGGAAAGAAGCCAGCCGTGTGACTTCGTAGTTTTCGAAATAAGAGGCCACAACAAGTAGTGTTAGAAAATGCTATTCTACTTCACCTCCAGTAACAAAAATAAAAATGGTACAGTGCTGATCAAAGTGTGTCGAAGGGTAAATGAGTCGTGTATTTTTTTCGTTTTTCTTGCATGTACTACTAGCAAAACTAATTGGGAAAATTGAACTAGAGTGCATCAGTTTTCACTATTTGGGTTTTAATTTTTGAATCGATTTTGCTGTCTATAAAAGGCGAATTACAGTGATTACTCGTATGATTCAAGAGCCTGCTCCTCCTTTGAAAATCTGTTCATTTTCCAGTTTGATTCGTCTCTAATGTACTGGTACAATATGGAGCTTCAGTAATTCGTCCCAGTTAGATGAATTCAAAAGAAAAATAAATATTTCAATAGTTTTGATGTCATGCCAACCATTGAACCTAATCTGGCTCACCTAGTCCTATTCTGCACGTCTGATTTTCTGCTGCTACATGCTCAGTCGGCACGTACTGCGGGGAAATACTCGTTTGAGTAAAATAAATTCGCAATTCTTGTAGAAACATCGGTGATATAATTTACACGGTAACGTTGTTTAATGAATTACTTTTTAAAGACGTTGCTTTTGATATAAGATGTATTAAAATATAATTGTTATCTGAGCTTCATGCGTCTCTGATCACTGAATTTGAAGAACTCCTATTGAAGTCAATGTTCTTTTGACGTGTGCTAGATGAATCCACATAAATTCTTTCATTAAAGACTATTTTTAAGATAAACCCACCTAATTGCCAGTAAACCCAATTCAGAATGATCGAAGAAGTAATTATCATCTGGTTGATCCGTGCACCGGTTTCCCAAATGTAAATGTAGGGGGCAATCCAGAGACTAGCCACTGGTTACTAGTTCATCTTTGGGTGCTCAATTCTCGTCAAGGCCGCTTACCTTGATCATTTAATTTTGGCCTATGGCATCTTGTTGATTGGCCGCGTTTCATTTATGAAAATTTTGTCAAAAATAATTATTAAATATAAATAAAAGTATATTATCAGGAACAATAACAAAGGAGCAAAAGAGAAAGGTTACTGAAATCATTACAAAAGTGTCTAAATTTCGTTCATCTGGAATAAGGCAATGCGTGCTTTTCGATGTCTGTCTCCCAGAAAGTATGCGAGTAAGTCATTCTGTCAAAATATATCCAAAAATCATCAGTTGTTAACGTTACTTCGTAGGTGGTGGTGATTTGCTGTGACCCCTCACGAAATTATAATGCCAATAGTTTTTTACTATGGTAAGTGGATTATGAGAAACCATTTCACAGGGATATAGATATCCATCCATTTGTGCGGCCTAAATTTGTATCGTTGTATGGGTTTGCTCTGAAAAAAATTGTTGCGCCTGTATTAAATGTACATTTCGGATTATCTCAAACCGTTTGCAACACTCACACTCATGAATCTGAATGATATTTGAGCCGCTTAATACCATCTGCGACGTGGAACAGTGAATTTTACTGCACATACTGAGCGAGAGGGTGATACCCCGTTGTCAGACTGACATTATCAAACCCCGTTCTGTGAACGCATACCATCATGTAACAACCTAATAACCAGAGTTCGTAGATACATACCTTTCCTACTCTCTCTCTCTCTCTCTCTCGTTCTCCATTATCTTATCACGCTCATTCTCAACTAATAAGAACACACTATGACCGTCCACCCCGAAGTGAACTGAGGTTTGGTCTTCAGAGATCAAGTTTGACGGATTGTTTTACAACATACCACGTGCCATACAGCGGAGTGGGTCTTCTGTGAATGACATCTAACAATTTTTATGTTGTTTACGGCAGTCCCATACGTAATCGATGTCAATAATTAGGGGCACGAAAATTCTTCATATACGTTTCATGAACTTTCCCTGTTCTGATAGTTCAGAGCCCAGATGATATTTTCAGTACAGGATAAGTCTTCGAACACGATTAAAAGGCCGAGTATGTTAATCGTAGATCGAAAGAATGGTCAGAGTTGAAAGAAAACATAAAAGGATAAGCCGCATCACGTGATTAATGATTCCAATAATGATCGTTCTCTGTGACGAACTCCCTGGTTCATATCACAACATATACTTTGGACAGAGATCCAAGATTCATGATGAATTAGTAAGTGTCATTTTACGGTAATTCACAACCCGACCCATGTGGTAGATTTGGAAGATATACGACGGGTTTGTATGTATTTTTGTCTTTTCGTAACTGCGCGCATTGGTGCTCTTACGGACGAACTTCTGTAAGTCTCCATTTGTCAAAGCAGGTGTCATATGTCCTTGAGGGAAAATATCGCACCGGTGACCTCGCGTTCTCTATTTGATTATTTCTGCGTGATGTGTGTTTCGTTTTACTGTAGGGTGGTGTGCTGCGCTATTCTATGTGATCTTATCTGCACATCCTAGTCAGGCTAATGCCTCGCGGTTGCACGCGGCACGAGATGAAAGACAGAGTTAATTGTTGGCCTATTTACAATACACAAACAAGAAAGAAATTAGCAGAGGCAGCAGCAGCCTCAGCAATAACAACAAGTAATCGAGGCAAACCAATGTCCCACCTGGAAGCGCAAAAGGATCCCTGGGTGTACAGAACACTAGTGATTATTGATGCCTAGCAGACTCGCAACAAACGACTATCCTCCGCGTTTCGATTGACGAGGATAAATACGTTCCACTGTTGACGTGATACTGTCACAGGCAGTTAGGTAATGTAAAACCTTTACTGCACTCTCGCTCCTGTTTTATGAAATTCTGTTGTTGATTGATTTGTAAGCACACTTTCTTTTCAGTTTTATCATAGTAAGCTTCTGACTAAGTGGATTTAATTAACCTAATAAGAGATTGTGGTGCTGTTTGTTGAAATCGATGCATGATCTACTAAACATTTGAAAATTTGAAATTTGAATCATTGGCCAGAATGCACGTGCCCTTGATATAACCAGTTTGAGAACTTTTTATTCGCGTTTTCAGGCGTATTTTAGTGGGACGATGAATAGTAAACTAAAATGTTCTACGAAGTAAGTAGGACATCAGATGCTATTTTCCAACCTAACTTAATGAATGATAGCGCTTGATCTCCACATCGATAAATGTGATGGTAGTGAAGTCTGATTTCAGGATTTCTCATGATAATAAGAGATCACATAGAATGCTTGGAGTCCGTTGGTACTGTATTCTTTCTCGAAAAGTTCTCCTCATCACAATAATAATTTCGCCGTTCACACAATTTATGAACCAAATGTTTTATGAATACCTAATTTTCTAGACTTAACTGTACATTATTATCGATTGAAGTTTCCGTGCGAAACATTATTCCATGTGCCTTTTAAGAGGTTTCACGAAACAAAATGTAGTCCATTAAATACACTACAAAAAATATAACACCTATATTGGTCTTGAGAAGAACATAGCAATGCATTTCACTTACGTTTACATTCGTTAGCCGACTCAGTTGTTGCACGTGCCCATGGTCGATCCAAGTAGCCCGGTGCACATCGCTCGCAATCCGTTCCCGCGGTGTTATGTTGACAGTCGCATCTTAACGGTCCCCAACCGTCAACCGTCCCCGTTTTGGGGTCTGTCACCCGATCACGAACACATCGATTGGCGTGACCATTACACTTGCATCGACCACCGATTGCCATGTCAGAGAATGCAAAATGCACCGGGCTATCACCATGCGGAACTTGCAAAGACGCTGCATCTGACTGATACTGATTACGAGACATGCCTAAGGTGCCGGCGGACATTTGCATTGAATTCCCATCTCCAACACGAAAAACATTGGCCGGGCTCAGTAAACTTGGTGTCAGAAGCAATCCGCCAGCATCATGTGGTGTGATTTGCGTGTGATCGGGGAACAAAGAAAGACTGACTCGAAGGTCAGTCATAGTCATCCAATCTATCAGAGCCGAACTCCATGGTTGGCTAGACGGTCTACCGATTGTCGTACTAAATGCGATCACCTTTGCTGATTGTCCGAATGCCTCATGCATATCGGGCGATTTAAGAGCAACACACAAAACCTCCTGAATGTTGGCTGCTGAGATTTGTGCCGTGTGCTCATTGCTGGTCGGCAGTCGGAATGCTCGATAACAGTCGGTTGAGAAGTACTGCCATGGTTGCCATGTCTGACCGAAATCAGCCGATTTGTAAAGTGCAATCGAGTCTGGCAAACGACCATGAGGTTGCAGGGAAATGTAATAAATTTCAAATCGTTTGCCCAAAGAGAGAGTTAGATTGACCGTTTGACCAGCACGTACAGGACCGGAAACCCAATAGGTTTCATTGTTCATCTGATGTCGATCTGTCAGGTGTTTCGGATGAAACTTTTCTTGCGGGTTGCATTGTTCGCATTCAGAATGTGTTCGACCGGATTGATCGATCCGATAGCGACAAAATTCTTCCGATTTGTCTCGTTCTCCACAGGTGGAAGAGGCAATCACCGGAGCCCCTTCTGCTACATTGGTAAATGGTGGCATACACTGGAACGCCCTGCCCTCGGCGTGGCATAAAGACCTGGAGGCTTCGTGAATAACTCGCAATTCAGTATCTGACGGTAAATGTGTGTTTGGATCACGTACTAAAGAGTGCTCCGGTCGACCGACTGTCTCCACACGAGCTGCACTGATAAAATAGATAGGTAATAATAACACACAAGTGATCAATTCGCGCATGGTAACGTTATCCGTAGGTTAGAGTTGGGTTCGGTCGACTAGGGTAAGTAACATACGTTAGCATTGAATTTGATTATTCGGGATGAGATCCGTTTTCCAATTCGCCTGCTTGTGTATGAGAAGCGGAAAATACAGGAAAGAAGAAACCCGTCGGCGTACAGAATCAAAGAATACTGTTCAAATGAGTATGATCGTGCACGAACTGACACACAAACACGTTAAATGGCATGCAAGTGACAATAGACGATTCACCCGTTTGGGAGCTGTTAGAGTAACAGTAATGATGTTAACAGTAGGATCAGTCAACTGCTGAAGTTCCACGTTCCACGGTTGTTTAATTGGTTGTAATAGTGCCGAATACAAATGAATACGTTGGCAAAGGTGGCGTCCGAATTGTCAGCCTTCTTCCTTCAACGTCATGCTTTGTCATGCTTTTTCTCTCCCTAGCCCTTTTCTTTCCGTTCGATCACACGCCGACCAGTACCGCCCCACCCCCAATTAACTTCAATCTGGTTTCCATACCCTCTAACCCCTATTTCGCTCTCAACCCACCNCCCCGGTTAGCACACATATCCAATTAGTTCGGTGGGGGGGGGAGCACCGGGAGGTTGACCGTACGTGAGGGATCGCTTCATCGGATTGGATTGTATTATGAACCAATCAGAGACCAGACTGATCCTTATGCTTGGACAGGATTTGCCGAATGCTGCATCAATCGATTGGCTCGTAAAGGAGTAGGATATTTCGGAATATTAAGGGTCTCATTGGTCCGAATGGGTTTTGTTAGATCAAGCATAATCACGGATTTAGGTAGTGTAGTGGAAATAAAGAGACGCATTGAGAGAGGGAGCAATGGTAAACCATGAGTATTCTCGAAATCTGTCACACCTATGGTTTCAAAGACATCCTCAGTGCGTAGGATCCACAACTGGCGGCAAATCCGTTGACAATCCCTGAATTCGAGTCATATAAGCAATAACCGACTGTATTTATGAACAGTAGGTTTCTAATACATTACACACAATACAAAACAGGACCGTTATAAAAATTTACTCACTGGGATACATAAAGATGTCACCAATATGATTCGAACCGTTCGTTACCTGCATCAAATTAAGTAAAATTATCCCCATCATTTATTTAGAACATTTCGACTTGTTCCAAGTATTTCATTCCACAATCTGAGAGCACTTCTGATTGACAGAAAAACTTAACTTTTGCCTAGCATAAATTTGTTATTCGGTAGCTGTTATGGGAGCATTTTAAGCCGACCATTGATTGTTGGTAATATTACCCTACCCCGGAGATCTTAACCTCAGTCGACTCGACTGATTTGCATCAATGATGACGCCCAACAGAAATAAAAATATCGTCAATTGCTTCGCAGCTTTTCACTTAAAGTATTACAGATTCTATATAAGAATAACCTCATTCTACGAAGCTCGGTTTTATCCGATAACTCTGCGACCGGGAGTATTGTTTTCTTTTTGATTAAATAATCAATAAACAGTTCTCAGTCGTGCCATTTCATCTGTGTCAGCAATATAAAACCCGTAATCTCAGTTCAGATTAATATTAAAGTTAACCATTCACTATCGTGGTTCTTGTGAACCTGAAATAAATATGATAATTCATTATTCAAAATATAACATCTAATCTCTGCTTCCAGATGCAAACAACGGACAGTAATGACGTTAATCAAAGTAATTGAAAACAAGGCAGTAACTCCAGTCAGTTCAGGATTACTTGGCTATTAATTGACCGATGGGTCATTCAAGACTAATAGTAAATAAGGGCAGACAGTCTTCATTCTTGGTAAATTATACAGAAAAATTACAGATTAGGTGGAATACTTCTATAAAATTTCAATAATCATATTGGAATCATTTTACTTATTTGCATCTAGAAACTTTCGGTTAGTTACCTCGGACAATCATTAGTTAATTTGGAAAATGAAACGTCATTCAAAATTTTACCTTTGCATTTATTTTCAAAGATTCCTACGTGTCTCTCACACAGATATAATTTAACAGATTAATTCTCAACATTTACGATTTCAGGCTGCAGGTTTGAAAGACAAATGCATTTCAGGGGAAGGTTTTAAATTAATTTACCCCATAGGAATAAAAACAACGTGATTTTCTTAACTCAAATTAACTGTCGAGTTGATGAGTGGTTGATTACCGTGTCCCAACGAAAGTCTACGAATACATTGTGATTGACGTAAAACACCATATATTCTTCACGCACGTATCGACAATCTCATTTAGGCATCACCCCTTCCGGCGGAATGAACAATAGGGTGGGCTGCATCTGTGTTAAAAAATGTCGTACCCTTTCTTCGACCGCGGATTTCAACTCAGTGATAGAAAGCAGAAAATTAAATTGTTCGCAAGTTCCGGACAGTTCACATACCGATGCATTGTCAAAACAGACATTTCTTTACGATCATAAAATAAGGTGTGACAGGAAGCAGTTCTGTCATCTCATGCATAATATTATTTGACAAATGACTGGTTTATCCGCGACTATTTTTTCGGAAATTGTTGAGAGTTTTGTGGCCTCCAGAAATCCTGAGATATAACATAAATCGGTGAAGTCAGCGAAATTCACTAGGTATGCATTACCAGTTATCTGTATAAATAATAACTATAGAGTATTTAGAAACAATGAATGTTAATGAGCATTGGTATCTAGGTGGCTTCACCAAATTTTCTTAGAATCACAAGACCTTTTTACCAATCGTCATGTACCCACATTACATAAGCTTTTGCCCTATATATTCATTTTCTATACGAAACACTCCAGTCTACAAATTGGCAGAGGCTCTATGCCTGGGCTTTCTTAAGCGAAAGGTACAAATTAAGGAGCTCGAATATCGAGAAACTACTTGATTCTATTGTTTACGGGGTATATCATTAGTTAGGGAGGAGTCGATTTAGATCTGAATAGTAAACGTATTGTCTCACAGGTAAGTTAGCCTTGCATCAATAGGACCACTTAGAGATCAGTTTAACAGAGTTCAATTTGATCAGGGGCGTGTAATCACAACTTTTGTACGAAATTCTGCACGTTTCTCATAATTAATCTCATTTACCCTAGAGTGAATTATTGTTTGCCCAAGTCCTAAGAAGTTCCTGAGGGTCAAGCCGAAAAGCCTCAGTGGTTAGTTCATTTGACTAACAGCGCCACGTGCTAGGGTTTGAATCCCAGTGGATTCGGTGTATATACCCGTTGATAAGTACAAACCAGGATGAAGTAGTTGTACAACGCTCACAATGATTTCAGTGGCGAGTAGTACGTTCACTCTGCCTGAAAATAATTCTCATAAATGAATCAAATCTATCCTAACACCTCGACTCAAAAACAATCATTGGTGATAGTCTGAGTTTCCAGTTTCCACGAAAAATAACCATGCATTTTTATGCCCTCTTTTGCCTGACCATTTGGATAAAAGAGGTGAATGAAGATTGGAATGTGAGTGAGTCTGGGAATTGGGTTAAACCAAATTTCTTTCAGCATTTTACATCTTTAACATGTGCAACGCATTCCAAATAGGGATATACTAGCGCTCATACTATCACGAAAAGCTTGTAAATTACCTGGAGCCTCACTTAGCAGCAGTGTCTTCTGTATGCTCCAGATTAGACAGTCTACCACCTGAAAGCAAACCGATGCCGATCACTGCGCACGAGAATAGGGCTGTTTCAAGGATTACATCTATGACAAAGTTAAGTAGAAAAGGTGAGAGAGAGAGCAACCCTAACGGACGCCACTTTCTCTAGTGAACTCGGGCGAAAAAGTGTCTGCAAACTCTGACTCAGTTCCGGTTGTTAGTGTAAAGAGACTGCAAAATTGAAATGAACTTCTCGGGTACACCCTATAGAGAGAGGAAGCGTCAGAGTTTAGAGTGGTCGACTGAGTGGACAGCCGCTTTCAGATGGAGGATGGTAGGTTCACGAAGGAGTGTCAATGTTCTAAAATTTGGCGAAGGCTGAAGATGTGGCCTATAAAACACAGACCAGGTCTAAAACCAGCCTGGTTCGCACGCGCGCGCCGTTCACGTGGGGTAGACAATGGACGGAGTATAACACCAGTGAGAAGCTTAGAGAAAATATTCGGTTAAACTAATTCCTCTGCGATTTTTATAAAAGAATCTGTCACCTTTCCTGTAAATCAGTTTGATGACCAATTCACACCATTGAGTTGGAACCTGTTTCCCCTCCAACACTGTTCTCAGGAGTCCCGTTAACTCCTAGACAAATACTGAAATTCCATACTTAAACACCGATGGGGACAAACCACCCGCGCCGAAGGCCCTATACCTTTTGAGATGACTAACTTCCGAGTAATCTCCATTTCAATTAGAAAAATGATAACTTACAAAATTAGCTCAGTTCAAGCAGGTATTTGGAGGTTTCGGTGATTATTCAGTGTTTTAGGGCAGCTGAACTTTGTATTGAACCGTTCTACCCATCGTTTAAGACGACGTTGATGTACCACTGTGCCATTATACGCCTTCAGTGTCTCACCTACGTCTACTTTCCTTGGACTCGTACTCCTAATTAAACGAAAAAGATTTCCACTATTATAGCTAGATGCGACCTTCTCCATTTCCTTACACTTTCCGATCCAGCACTTCTCGCGGTAATTCCTCTGACTGTTGATGAGCTGGCGTTTAGGAGATTTATGTGCTCTTTCCGTATTGGGCATCAAAAGGAAAGGCTTCTAGAGCGGCCACAAGGGCAGCTGACACCAAGGAAATCTATCTTTTTGTTTTGGTTTGGCTAGCGAGTCCAAATTTGTTTTCATGGCCGTCAGTTTGATCAACATTTGGATCGCTTCCTTGGTTATCCTCCCGTGTTCACTGAGTTAGTTGGCTGAAAGTTGAGCTGAAAGATAATCAGATAGTTCTGCTTCGAAGGCCAATTTACAACTATCACTGATACAGAATTGTGGGCATCCTTTTTCGGTGACTTTTCTGTGGTTGTTCACCAGAT